CATCGTGTAAAGTGCGCTTCCAATGCGTAGTGCAATGTGCGCCTTCTTGCGGCATGTTGCACCTTCCACTCAAACTCCCGCCATGAGCCTAACAACATATTCAAGGCCCACTTGATAGGAAAAACTGATAAAGGCCTTTATTATTTGCATTCCTACGAATGTGGGATGGAAGTAACCTTCTAACCTTACTATTGAAGAAAGTTAAACAAAACAGTGAAACAGACGTAATTCATAATTAGCTTCGCAACCGCTTTTGCATGTCAACTTCGCAACCGGTTTCACACCAGTTTTCCCCATCTAAAAAAAAACCTGACATCCATTTTTGTTTCACAAATCAAATAATAGCATTTTGGGACATGACATCTTCGTGTATTGCAATAATTCTAAAAATCCTTTATTTTAGTATTCAGATATCACATTGAAATTCATTTAGGTAATTGGTGTGTAATATAATCCTTGTATTATAAACTAATAGTCACAAAATTGATTTGGTAAAACAAATTGAAAATGTTAGCACCGACTTTGGGAGTTATGCATCACAAACTGTAATTCAACATTTCTCCTATTTTCGTTTCTCTTTGGTTAATAAAGATCTTCCTTTAATAAGTTGGCATACACAACCTTCGAGTGATGGAACCATTATAAACTTGAGTTATTTACGTATGCTTGTATTATCTGATTGTTTTCACACATTGAGTTGTTCATCTTATTTATTTTTTCCGAACCAAGTTAGTTTGTTCCGCATTCCTTGTTAGCAAAAGTCACACATTTGTCACTTTTTAGGATTGAAGTTCATAACTTTATTGTTTGAGATATGTGACCCAAACCCAACTTTGTCGTTGTATATGGTCATTTTCTTCTATTTCATTCTTTTCTTCATCCTGTCCCTGAATGTCGAAGTTTCCATCAATAACTAGTACATAATTTGTGATTGAGTACAAATTACTCACGGCTTGTTGTAGTGTTTTGTCGTTTGTTGATTTCGTGGTGTTGTTAAAATTGCTATTCGTTATCAACATATATAACATACCATTAATTCGTTTCGTGGACCAACTCACTTGGACCATATATATGGTGATCACCTTGGTTGCTTGTCAACTTTGACGTGACATCCATGATTACGACCTTGTTTTCATCATACTACACACCTCTAGTAGTATCATAAACGTGACGGGAAAACAACACCATTTGATGATTTTTGATCTTTAAGGATTATCACTTCATACAATCTATCATTGTGTGTGTTATATACCTCCTTATATCAAAACATGCAGATTTAAGTTCGTTTCAATATTTTAAAGAAGTTACATATGCTTGGAACATTAATATTTAAATTAATGATCCTAGGTATTAGTTTTCAATATGTACTTTTTTTTATTAACCTGGATATCCAATCCGCTATGCGAGCTGACTAATCCCAGGGCGACCACCTGCTTTGTAGATAGCCTGGAGTCACCGCATTTGAACCTCCATGGCCACAAGGGGATTTTTATTCCTTCTTGGATTTGAACCTAATACTTCATGGTACTTTTGACCTTTGAAGCCAAGCTCAAACCAATCAAACACCATCCTTATGGTTATCAATTTGTATTTATATACAAGCCAATTGCAATTTTCTTTTCTTTATGCCAAGCACTTGATACATTCAGCAAATGTGATCAGGTTTCTAAAAAAATTAAGTACACCCATAAAGTTTCAAATATTTCCCACTAGACCGTGGTCCTATATCCAATTTTTTAGGGGTGCATGTCAGCAATAACATGTGGGACTCTGGTGCACCATTTGCAATACATCCCACCACCACTATTGGTGCCTCGATGGTCCAACATGTCCAAATTCATATGAATTTTCTGTCGTCATTCTAACATCTTCCATTTTTATGGAGCATCACTTCATTACTAGAAAACTGGCCATTTTCGGCGTAATTTTCGGCGGACGGTTTCCGCCGGTAATATTCCGGCGGATTTCCTGGGGACTTCAAAAAAGTTAATTTTTATTGACTTCCGCCGGAAATCCGTCGGTAAAAGTATTCCATTTATATTTCCGGCGGATTTCCGGCGAAAGTCATAATTACTTAGTTTAATCTTGTATTTAAATCTAATTACAACAATTTACTGGCGGATTTCCGGCGGATAATAAATTTTAAAAAATAATTAATTATCTGCCGGAAATAATTATCCGAATTTTTAAATAAAAAATAAAAAATAGTATATATATAACAATTTCCGGCGGATTTCCGGCAGATATTAATTTTTTAAAAATAATTAATTATCCGTTGGAATTCTTCCGGCGGATTTCGATACTGCCGCCGGAAAAAGTAGCTTGTTTGGTAGTGCTTTCAGTTTCCAAAAAAGTGCCAAGTATGTAAACAAAAAGGCTAATGTGATTCATAATTTTTTTTTATTTGTCGTAGTTTGATTTATGATAATCTTTACACACGAAATACACATAGAAACCACATATTGCTTTCTAGCTTGCTTTTGTTTCTTCTAACGTTTCGTTACAGATCCTAGAAATTAAATCACATTTGAAAGGACGAGTTTTTTCGTCAATTGTGAATATTGGTTATTCGTAAAATAACAGAAAACAAGCTGTAACCACGTGGATATATAGATAAGTCCAATTGGGCGTTGCCATATCTCTTTCGTTTGTTAAAGAATGGGAATAATTGAAGGAGTAGGTGAAGCGGATGCATGATAATTGACCAAATACTGTTTTCAACTTATCATACTTCTCTTATACATGATGTAAAGAAGTTGAAGAAATACAGGAATAGATGGATAACTTACGTATCGTAGTATGTATGGTTTAATCATGCCTAATTAACAATAAGACAATATATTAATGGGAGATATATAAAAAACCGAGTCAATTATTAGACATGTTGAATGTTATTAAGAGTCCTTCATTTGCTAGACAAGCACTATCAAGCATGCATATATATAAGAACTTTCCATGTCTTTATAAAGGTTCTTCTAGAAAGTGATTTAAAAGGATTTCGCACGTATATCTTAATTTAACAATGAAGAAGTGTATGATTGAACATAAGGATACGTTAGTGCATATAGGAGAGAGGACTTTAATCGGTTTTAGGATGTTAAAGAAATTCCTTTTTTAATTTTATACTTGGCCTTTGATGCAAGTCAAAAGACCTTGAATAAGAATACTCCCAAATTTCATAGCTTTTTTCCATAAAAACGAAATTCTTTTAACTGAGTTAAACCTATAATTTATAATATTTCTACTTCTTGTAAATATATCCTACATATATACATATACACATACTCTAATATCACGTAAACACATGTCCACTCATGTCAATATTCGAGTCAGTCAAAACTCCACGATAAGTGATGACTATTTTGCAGTATCCATGACCATGTTCTTTGTCTTAGAGACAAAGATGTTCCACCATTTTCATACAACCAAATTCCACCGTCCAATTCATTACATACTGCCAAAACCATCCATTAATCATTAATTGTAGGTGTTGGCAAATGCAACTTGTATGGATGGGATGGGACGAATTACGAGCTAGCTTTCAGTATTACCATCGATAAACCAAAAATCAACTAAAGTTGTTGCAGTGTCAAATGTTGCATTTCAAACAATGGCTCCCGTATTTAATTACGTCTATATATAGATTACATTACATAATGTTGAACATTAACGTGAAATCTCACCTAATTAATAAAACCATATTCAATAGTATCGGTCTATATTTTGAAAGCAACATACCAAAAACTATATTTAAATTATCAAGACACACACACACACACACACACACACATATAGATGGATTATTATACAACCTATTACATTTGTACAACCAATACAACTTAATCTCAACCGTCCATTTAATTTGATGAATATGTAAATTATAGAAGTTTTAATTATTTTATAATATAAAGTATTAATCATAATTAATAAACCGTATTCATAATCCATAAATATTTAAATCATAATAAATGAACTCTCATCATTTACATAAATATTTCAATTTATTGGGTTGTATTTGAAACAATCTCTCTCTATATATATTAGTAACTTTTCTAATTATGTGAACAATAATTAAGATTATAAAAATTCAAAAGATTCTTTTTTGGTCAAGAAAAATAGTTTCAAACTCATTAGAATATGGCTTGATTGATCCCAATATATTTCAGAACGAAACGTTTGTGAAGAGACCTTCAAATTTTATTAGAACTTAGAACCTTAAAACATCATGGTCTTTTACATATATAGACAAACCAAGGACCAATTACAACAGACCTAATCCGTGAGTTGAACTCTACAGCCCAATCTTATCCAATAAGCAATATAATATGCAAAGATATGGTGGGAAGGGACCGTCGATTAAAGCTCTGTAGCACCTCAAAGTTGGATTCAGTTGGCAGTATGGCGTTCCATGGGTAAATGAAACTTACATTATTTGCATTCCCATGAAATGTTGCACAAGCATAACCCCAAAAGCTGGAGAGACCACTGAGGGGCCGTTTACCAAACGCTTACTCGGGTAAGTGAACACAAAGCCACATTACTTTACCGGATGAACATGGTAAGAACCAAAAATATTACCCGGTAAGAGCGAGACAAGGACCAAGAGTCTTACCTGGTAAGTGAGGGTGACGACTCTTACCACATTAAGCGCTTACCGGGTAAATTGTTGCATACGATACCGTTTTGGTGGACTAGAATCTTACCCGGTAAGTAAATGATAGTATTACATTTTGCTGGTAAGCGCTTACCGGATAAGTGTTTGATAAACGGCCCCTAAGACAGTAGTGGGTTTGTCTTCATTAATTAGGATATATAATTATAAGGAGATGTATATATATATCTCAATCAGAATAAGCCTAGCAATCTTTCTATCTAATTAAGACAAGCAAAACCAAATGTCTGTTTCTGGTTGTGGTCCTTCTTTCACCTGCCAAAGGGCCAGCTAGGAATCATCTAAGCTCCATATATACTGAGTTCACCCAAAACACTTCAAACAAAACATGACTTCACCGACTCCGGTTGCACATCATGTCCTCAGCATTGAAAGGCACGATGCTCAGCAACAGAAGAGTCCGGAACTGGAGTTCCATGTCAGTAACCAGAGGGCCAATTGGGTTCTTAATTCACCAGATCCTCCAGGATTTTGCCAACATATTTTTGGTTTGATAAAAAAGAACGTCTTCCCTCACAGAAACAGCACACCTTCTTCATCATCATCTCAGAAGAAGCAACCTCCTTCTGCACGCCTCATCGCGGTTTTGAGTAACATATTTCCTGTACTTAGTTGGGGTAGAAACTACAAAGCATCAAAGTTCAAGAATGACTTGATTGCTGGCTTGACTCTTGCTAGCCTCAGCATTCCTCAGGCACAAATTTCTCACCTAAAATACACTCTGAAACACACTAAAAGTCCTTGTCGTAAATCGTTTTCTCTCTTAACTTCTTGCAGAGTATTGGGTATGCTGCTTTAGCTAATCTAGATCCTCAATATGGCCTATGTAAGATAACAATTTTTTGTTCTCTTTCTCTTGCATTAGTTGTAATTATATATGCTTATTGTGATTTTTTCTGATGTGTTCATAGATGGTAGTGTTGTCCCTCCTTTGATATATTCTGTAATGGGGACTTCACAAGAATTAGCTATCGGTCCAGTAGCTGTGGTGTCATTGCTGATATCTTCGATGATCTCAAAATTAGTTGATCCGATGGCTGATCCAGTATCCTACAGAAAACTCGTTTTCACGGTCACCTTCTTTGCGGGCAGCTTCCAAGCACTTTTTGGATTGCTTAGGTAATAATCCATGTCAAAGATATATGCACTTTCTAAAAAAATACAACTTTCCGTTGTTTCTGATCATCAATCTGTTGGCTGCAGGTTAGGTTTTCTTATTGATTTTCTATCGCATGCTGCCATTGTAGGGTTTATGGCTGGTGCAGCCATTGTCATAGGCCTTCAACAACTCAAGAGTTTACTTGGGATTAGTCATTTTACTACTAAAACTGATATTGTCTCCGTCTTGGGCGCTGTTGCGAAATCACTCCACACCTCAGTACGCTTTCACAATGTTAATTTCCGTCATTTTTTATTTAAACTCACCAATAACATGGATCTTTTTCGTGTTTTGGCAGTGGTATCCTTTGAACTTTGTTCTTGGATGTTCCTTCCTTATTTTCATCCTCATTACCAGATTTATCGTAAGTAGATGATCTGTTTTACACCATCTTAAGGTTCATTGAATTGCTTTCTCATCTATGAATTATTAACTTGCTCAAATTCCAGGGCAAAAGGAACAAGAAATTATTCTGGTTGCCGGCCATTTCTCCAGTTATATCGGTCATTTTATCCACCTTGATAGTATACCTAACAAGAGCAGATGACCACGGGGTTAAAATCATTAAACATTTCAAAGGAGGATTAAATCCAAGTTCAGTCAATCAATTGGAGTTCAATGGTCCACACCTCGGCCAAGCAGCCAAAATCGGATTTATTTGTGCCATTATTGCTCTAACGGTGATTGCCCACTTTATAATTCAGACTCCATTCCAATAATTTTACATATGGATTTCCTAATACTTGATGTAATGTTACAGGAAGCTGTTGCTGTTGGTCGATCTTTTGCTTCAATCAAAGGGTATAACCTAGATGGGAACAAAGAAATGTTAGCTATGGGCTTCATGAACATCGCTGGATCTATGTCTTCTTGCTACGTTGCCACTGGTAGCGATATATATATAATCTAAGTAGACGTATGTGATTTGTCTATCAGGAATGACCGTTTTCTTGTTTCGCAGGCTCATTTTCGAGGACTGCTGTAAATTTCAGTGCAGGCTGTCAATCTACAGTATCAAATATAGTAATGGCTATAACTGTGTTCATATCATTACAACTATTAACAAAGCTATTATATTACACTCCTCTTGCCATACTTGCCTCGATCATCTTGTCTGCACTTCCTGGATTAATCGACTACAACGAAGCTTACCATATTTGGAAAGTTGACAAATTGGACTTTCTTGCATGCGCTGGGGCTTTCTTTGGTGTATTATTTGCATCAGTGGAAATTGGTCTTTTAGTTGCTGTAAGATTCCTTGAATCTCTTTCAATATTCTTCATTTTTCAGTTAATTCTTACATTTAGTTGGTTGATAATGAGTTCTAAAGATAACCCAAAACTCTATTTTTGTATGAATATATATTACACATCATTAATTTATTAAATAAAGTAATTAATAATATGTCATCACATAATTGGTGGGACATCGAGTTTGTAAACATTATGACCTTTAAATATCCGTGGACAAGGTAGCGGCAAAAGTTTAATTATTAGTTCGGTTGTTTTCAAATCATGGAAAAGAGTATTACTTTTAGTCGAATACTTAAGATTTTTTAAGCTTTTAATTTCCCATCAATTGTAAACGTGTATAATAATCAAGAAGATGACTGGATGGCCTTCGATAGACTTAGAAGCATGTGAGACAAGACTTGTTACAATTGAAACTTCATAATAAAACACTTTGAAGGTAACATTCAGAGTGTTTTTTTTGTGAATGTTCGACTTTTTTATTTTCATAATATTTTATTATAAAATTTTAAATATAAAAATGTTATCTCACGTGTCTCACAAAAACTAACTGGTCTCACGTGACCCAACGCGCCTTCGATATATATAATTTTATCTTGAGGTGTATCAATGTTTATTTTAGAAGAACTTTCAAGTTAAAGTAATCTTTTTGATTAAAAAGTAATAAACTTGTCTCATAAAAACTGTAATATTTTCTTTGATGCCTCATTATAGTTTGGTTTTGGAAATTTTCATGCTGAAATAACTTGTAGCAATTCTATGATTCCCCCTTTTTAATAAATTGTTACATAATTTGCATCTATGATTCCTCCTTATTAATTACAAGTTATATTTGACTATATATTAACAAATTAAAAAAGAAATTGTAAAATATTTGTCTAACCAAATGTTGCAATCTTTTTGTAATTTTAAATGATAACTAAAATAACAAATATTATCTTATGAACAACAATATTTTTTCTTTCTTTTTTCAAATAAAAAAAATATCAAGTGGGTATGGTTATTGAGATTTGATTCTAGATCTTTAAATTAATTAAATTCATTATTGGATTCTAGAATTCCATATTTATTTGCAATTGTGTCAAGATTAGGGTTTCTTAATTGACTTTCATACCATTTATTATGTGCAATTGCCTATAAAAGCTATACATGATTGAAGAATCTTTTGAATATTAATGTATAACATGTAACTACCAATTATTAGTATGATCTGTGGATAATTAAGTAGATAACTTGTTTATGCATCAATATTTCACTTTATTAATTTTTATACAAAAATAAGTTCGTTTTTTTGGATGCATATGGAACTTGTGACGCCCTAAAAATTGAGTCAACACAAAACACCGGCTTCCGAAAATGTGTAATATTCGATTTCACACGTAATGTAAGTAAATTATCTCTTGAACATTTTAAGTAGTGTAAGAGCAAAAACAATATTTGTTATTCAATTTAAATAACCGAAATGTAAGTTACCTGCTTTGAAACTGGTTAAATGGTTCTAGTCATTTCTAATGATATGTAGGTCTCTATTTCATTTGGAAGATTAATCCTTAATTCCATTAAACCCGGAATCGAAGAAATGGGAAGGCTTCCAGGAACAGACATCTTCTGTGACAGGGCACAATATCCTAGAGTTCTTGATGTTTCAGGTGTTCGCATAATTCGCCTTAACTCTGGCTCATTTTGTTTTGCTAATGCAAATTCGATCAAGGAAAGGTATTGACCGTTCATGTTCTATCTATATATTCATCAATAATTAAGAACTCAAGTTTCTATTTCATCTTAATCCACGTTTGGTTTAAATGGTTCTCATCATAGGATAACCAGATGTGTGACCAAAGAGGATGAAAAGGAAGAGACAAAGAAAACGATTAATGGAATCATCCTAGACATGTCTAGTAAGTATTTACTTAAGCATATTATGAGCCAATGACTTCGGTAAAAGTACTTATTTTACTTGCAACGATGTATATATGAAAGAACATTGTACCTAAAAATAGTGAAAACTTTGGTCCTATATCAAATACTTTTATTAAACTATATGTCAAAGTCGAGCAATATATTTTTTAGAGCTTGGGAGTTGAAAAGAGGCGGAACACTCTAGAAAGTTTGTAATATCCACTGATTTGGGTGTTTTTAGAAATTGGATTTTGACTTCACTTTCTCGTGTGTCAGGTGTCATGAGCATCGACTCTTCAGGAATTATTGCGTTAGAAGAAATTCACACGAAATTGGTTTCAAGAAACATACATGTAATACTTCCAAGACGTCAATTTTTGCACTTTAAAAGTTTTTATGTTAATTACTAGCTCATTACGTGTTATACGTTGTTTCTTTGCAGTTAGCTATTGCCAATCCAAGATGGAAAGTGATTCACAAGCTAAAAGTAGGTGGGTTCGTCAAAAAAGCTGGAAGTGCTTGTATATTTCTCACAGTTAATGAAGCTGTTGATGCTTGTCTAAATCCCAGTTCTATCGGTCTAGGCAATTGTTGAAAATGGTTAACAACAGTTGTCCTGAAGGCTACTACAACCCAATCCCATTTCTTTTTATAGTACATCAATGGGTGAGGGAGGTGTAAATGTCATTAAGAACATATTATGATGAATTAGGTGTGTTGTCTTCTTCTTCTTTTAATAAGTTGCCATTATGTGTCAAGATTATAGCCATGTTATATTATGTATTGGAACTCCATTCACTTCTAGTCAAGTTATTTTGACTAGTTTAATCTCTACGTAAACGGTTTTAGGACTTTTAGGTTGATTGAAGGAGATCGAGATGATCTTTGATTAGGTCTTCTATCGGAATGTATCTATGTGTATTGGTTATAAGGATGTTAAGGATATAACAACTCTGAATTGAAAGGGGGATGTTTTAGTGTTTTCTTTCTTTGGTCAAATTCAATTATGCTAATTATATATTGTTGAATCAATTTTTTGGTTGTCTTTATCCATAGAGAGGGTCGGGATTCTCGATTCTAGTCATTTCCTTTTAAGTGTTTTCAGTCTTTATTTTGATTAGAATTATAAAAACCCTATTATCTTTGTAGATAACTCATAATCCGAGATTAGATCTCTTGGATCCCTTCCCTTGTGAGTAGACTTCTTATGTGAACTACTTATTAGCGTCAACTAATCGAGTCGTTTCAGAAATAGAAAAATCTTCTACCATGGAAAATGCTCTAAATCTAAGACAACTATTTGTGGTTGCTTCTAAGTAGTTCAGGTTTCTTTAGTTGTAACAACACAATGTAACCAGTAAAATTGAAAAAGAATTAAAAACAATGCAAGTACTTAATGTATGCTCTATAAGTAGGAAACTGAGAGGTTGATCATGTACTGTACAAGTTGAATTCCTGGTCAGCTATATCTCATGAGTAGCTTAAGCTAGTGCTTACAGTAATTGAAGTCAACTACTGTGCTATTTTTACAAGGGGTAGACTGGAAACACTTGGATGTTGAAATGTAGCTCTCTAAATGATCAAGACTATACAATATGTCCACCTTAAGAGATGTCTATTCTCTCAATTGTTAGTGTACTTTCGGTATATGGTCCTCTGTAGCATGATATCGACATATACATTATCAAAAGATAAACTCAAAACATGTGTAGTCAACGTCGATATAAGAAAGCATTAATATTTCAACGACGACTCCGCCTAGAATGAAAGCAATAGAATGAACGACAAACACTCTCAAAGTTGAACACTGTTGGAACAAATCTGAACACACAACAAAAATACCAAATGAGGCCGAACTCCGACTAGCATTTCTTCATCTTCGCCATGTTCGTTTTAACCATCAGAAGTGCCCTTTTAATTTGCTTGTTTAGATTGACTTATCCAAAATAGGATATAATATTCCTTTTTGGGTTTTAAAATCTATTCAGGTCTGCCACAATTTGTGATGGAGAAGCAAGTTCAGAGTGCCAATTCCAAGAGGCGAAGTGATGCCATGTGTAGGATGGATGCCACCATATAGTCTTATAACTAGAACAATCCGAATGTGATATAAATGGATATCTAGGTCTCAAGATTAAAGTTAAGTACGTCTACACTCCACTGCGTAACAAACACATGCAATTCCATAACAAAATTAATTCATTCTAATTCAGTCGTTAAGCTTGTATTTTGCAACACACATATATATAGTTGTTTCCGTGGGACCATAAGAACAAGATTGTAGTAAAGACCACATCAGAAAATCCAACATATCGGTCGAACGATTCGCCTGAAGCACTTGCATTTTGGAAAATGAAAGCAATGCTACATGAAGCCTAGATGCCTAGTCATAATCAAGCATATATATAGCAGGGTATTGGTGAGATTGACAACTGGTGCAGGTTGAAAATGCCAGGAATCTCTCTTCATTGTAATGTTATTTACAATATATATATTACATCTTTTAAGAAAACCTAAGTAAGAACAAACCAATCACTATATGTGTTGTTGCATCACTATATGAAGAAAGGTTTTTTCTTTACTCTTAACATCAAGCCACTTTTCGTAAAGATGGACCATAGAATTCCATTGAGTTCATGCAATTTAACACAGATTCTGAGATCTTTTGATAGGTTAACTGAGTTTGCATCCAGTATGGTTCAAAAAATAACGATTAGAAAACAAAGGCAGAGTTCTGAAGTTTAACTTCAGATGCAGAACCTTAGTTTCTGAAGACAAGTGTCTTCACTTTAGAAGAGATGTCGTTAGAAAGGAAAATAACTTTTGATGGAAATCCTAATTCACTTTAGAAGGCAATCTTTAAGTTGATCGAAAGGCTAGCTAGTCAACTTCTAAACTAACTTGTGCAACCGTTTCTTCATCTTATCTTGTGAGATGCTTGCCTCCAATTTTGGTTCGGGCGAGTTTCTAGCGACGTTAATCATATGCACCCGCATTTGTCTCTGTAGAGCGACCACAAGGCAGTGTAATATGCGGGTCTCATGTGGGTTTACCCGCATCAAAGTGTTTTTCTTTATGGTGCGTATGGGATTTTAGGCTCCAGCTCTTTTCTCCTTAGTGTATATACAAAAGACAAAATGCAAATGATATTTTAAGCCCCTTTTGAATGCTTTTTCTCTAAAACTAATTACTCTCCAAGTTTTACTCAAGAATATCAAGAACCCTATTGATTTCTCCATTGTAAACTCAAGTGTATCATCATCAAAATGATCGTGTATTAGTTATTGGCGTCCTCCACCCGTGGTTCATAGACGGACCCATAGAACGTTAAAATTTTTACGTTTATGAAGGTGCAACCATATCTTTTTATAAAGTGCCACCATATGATATTCAAAAGTTCAAGAAGGTAACCGTACCTTGTAATCAACCAAAAAAGACTATTGGAATCAACCAAAAAACCGAAGAAAAAAACTCTTGAAATCAGCAAAAAAGACCAGGAAAAAATCCCTCGAAATCGATAAAAAAAACTTAAAAATTCCTCAAAATCAAGTAAAAAAACTTTAAAAATCTCTCGAGACAGTGGAATTAGGCTAAAAAAATATCCGACGATATAGAACGTCAATCAAACATGAAGACACGTCGATAAAAACCGTGCTTTTTGTAATTTTTTTCTATACTATATGGTATCACTATATAAGAAATTACTTGGTCCGTCTCTACCGTAAATTTTTTTCCCTCTCTGGGTTTCCAAGTAAAATTCCAGTGTCTCTCCTACTTATGCTTTATTTTGCATATTATTGGGTTTACTATTGTTTACATTACTTAGTGATTGATTATCTTGCTTGTCAACCATTACTCCGTCTAGAACTCGATATATAACTTTAGTTCATTTGTTCTTGAGTTATTTGTGTTTTATGGGAAACCAATCATTGAACTTATGCTATTTGAGTCTCGTATTCTTACAACATATCTTGTAATAATTATTTTGATAATTGTTCTTATCTTTAAATAATTTGCTAAGTGTCTAAATTAATAGGCCAATAACTACTTGTATAAGTGGTTTTTGATATCATTATATTACATGGAAAACACAATACTACATGTGTCTTTTTTCTCTCACCTTTTACCAAACACTACCAAACGTGTCTTTTTTTACCTAACACTAAGAAATAGGGGAACTTTTCCGGCGGAAGTCAGTAGAAGTTGACTTTTTTGATGTCCCACGAAAATCCGTCGGTGTATTTTTGGCAGATTCTGTCAGCCGCAAATTGCGCCGGAAATACTCATTATTCTAGTAGTGTAAAATCTAGAATGTGAATATGGATTATCCCCAAGTAATTTCATGTTAATTATACGTAAGGACCGATAGAAATACAAAATATTACTAGCATACAGTGATTCTTCACGATCCATATTTTAGATCCAAGTTTTTCACTTATACCCATTCTCTAAACCCATATTCTAATTAATAGTTGGAAAATCTTTACCATCTTATGGCTTCCGTATACATCCACCACCCCAAATATTATAAAGAAAGACCACATTAACAATACAAAATGATTTTAAACTCCAAGAATGTGATGCTAGAGGAAAAAATGAGTTTTGAGTTTGCATCTTGTATATGGTGGTCATATAATTAAACCACTTTTTCTAAAGCATAGAAACTTTGATTAATTTAGAAATAGGGATATAATGTTTCAAATTTGAATGGATTACATTTTAAGAATCAATTTTACAAATTTTATAGGACTTCTTGAAAAGTAAAAGAAATGTGTCGATTATCAAGTGCGTCAAGTGATAGACATAGACATTTAGTAAACTACATATTTGGTCCCTATGGTTCATTGTTTGTAACACTTTTGATCTCTACAGCTTTGAAATTATAATTTCAGGCTTTCAGCATTTGTCGTATGCAAAAAGGACCGAATTTGGTCCTTGCTTTTAATGGTTGTTAAATAATCTCATTAGATGAACGACATTTCCGTATAGAGAGAGAGAGAGAGTAAACTACAAATTTGGTCCCTAAACCTTTTCCCAAAGTTGAAAATCCAGTCATCTTCTCCGATGAACCTTCGGCCATCTCTCAAAATCCAAATCCAAACCTTAAAACCAAAATCTAAATCCAAACCTCCCATGACTTTGACGCCTCCGATGAACTTCCAACCAATGCTTCCGGTGAACCATCCAACGAACACACATACTCTCTCTCTCTCTAGAACACCCCATCCCAATCACGTATGCAATTCCATTGGTTAAACCTCTCAACCACGACCCTCTCTCTCTCTCTCTCTAGAACACCCCATCCCAATCACGTATGCAATTCCATTGGTTAAACCTCTCAACCACGACCCTCTCTCTCTCTCTCTCTAGAACACCCCATCCCAATCTACCGCCTCCCATTCTCCATCTAGACTCCATCAACGAAACCACCCTCCTCTCCCGTTTAACCAACAAATCCCTCCCTTTTCCCTCTCCCATTTTGCCGTTGACACCTCTATAGCAGATGCATATGCAAAAACCATGGGATTTAGTTCTCGATTATGTCAAATATGCAGATCGATTGGTGAGGGATTCAAACCCAAATCTTATCACGGGGGAGATGGGGCAACACCTGGTTTGTGATGAAATAAACAGATTTGGTGAAGTCCTTAGGAGGAGGGAGATGATAATAGTGGTAAGAACTTAGAAGGGTGTTCATAAAGATCTCAAGAGGAGAAAGAAGACTTCAATGGGATGTTTATCGTTGAAAAATATATATTCTGTTGTTGAAGGTGCATATCTGAGGTGGGGGTAGGGGTTGGCCGGTGATTCGGTAGTCCTGAAAGACCCACCATCACCATTGATTATATGTATGATATTATACTAGTTGGTTATCCGCGCAATGCAAAGGGATACAAAGATCTATCAAGATACGTTTAATTTTTAAATATCAAATTTTTGTAAG